GCCTCGTGTTCCAAACCATGGCCAAGGTAAAGGTGAAAACCAGTCGCATCCTGCTCGCTTGGTAAGGACGTCGCATAGAAGCTACTGCAGTGACACATCAGAAATTGGGGTGAAGGTTCTCCCTTAAGTTTGCATGTCTGCTGAGCAATTAAGGATTCTAAGAAGAAAAAAAAAAAAAAAGAGGGGACTAGCCATATTTTTGTTCATATAACCATTACTGGTGCTTAGCCTGGATGCGAAGCTAGTGATTTTGGAACTGGACAATCAAGTGGAATAAGATAAGATCCCAGCAGACTCCTTGGGTGATAATCAGTTGGCCTGGCTGGACTATGGTTTTTTTTGTTTTAACCTTTTGATGAAATATTTATTTATTTTTACCTTTTGATGAAATATATATTTATCTTTCTATTAGAATTTTCTTAGACAAGCTGTGGGCAGCTGAATTTTGCACTGTGCTTTGTAGGCTTATTGCACTGTGGGCCCAACACGACTTTTGTTGCCATCTCAGAATATCAGGTCACACTCTTTTCCTTCCCTCTCCATGTCTGGTGTTTGACCAGCTACACAGCAGCGAGACAGGAATAATAATCAGAGAAAATCTGTTTCACCCTGGAAATTATTTTGGACAGGATAACCCCTTGTGTTGCAGAGATGTGAGTTTTGCTTTTCAGAAGCAGTGTCGTGAATCAAAGGTAAGTCCCCACTGAGCAAAGATAAATTTTTTGCTATCTGGAGGAGAGTAACCTTGTCAGAGATAGGGTAAGTCTCCTGAGAGCCCCAAGACACACAGTTTCTTCCTGAACTCTTCCTGCCTATGGGGAGTTACAGCTTTTCTTTCCCTCTGGAGTAGTGCAGGCTGCTTCTCTTGTCTGCTCGGCCAATTACAGGGTCAGGTAGGGGAAAACAAGGGCTTGTTACAAGTTTCCCTGTGGAGAGACATGAGCAGACTGTGGCTGTCCCCTCACCAGCCTGTTTTGCAACCTATTTCCAACTGCTTAGTGGATTCATACTTTTCCTACTGCATGTGGACAGCCTTCCTTGCATATCTTTAGCATTCCCCTTCTTTTGTGCCTCCAAGAAGATTTTTTTTTCTAATTCTAATGGGTCATAGTTTATGTTACTACGTTTACCTGTCATCAGATATGAAGATGTGCTTTTTCTGCCCTTCCCTCCTTAGGTAAGGATCTCTCTTCCCGCAGTGAAGATGATCTGTCCTGCATCTTTGGGAAGCGACAGAAGAATATGAAGGCACAGGTAAACAAGAGCCTTCACCTTTCTCCTGAGAGTTTGCATGCTTTCCATTTTAACAAGAACATATTTACATGGCTTTCTGCTAGTAAGGTTATCATACACTCATCAAAACCCAGGGATCTCCTGTCTCTGAACTCACTTTTTGCGTGAAGGCTACAGATACAGGGCTGTGCTCTCCACTCTTAGAAAATAAGAGTGCATTTAATAAACATTTCTATGAACTACTGTGATAGAACCTCTTTGGAGTCAATTAGGAATCTCCATTACTTTAATTTTATACTGTTTGGTAATACACGGTGTAAATTGAGTAAAGGTTGTTGATTGGAAAGATCCGTAACTATTCCAAATGCAGAATTTGGCATTCAGCAGCAACTAGCCAAGCCCAGCACACAAACCTTTCACAAGGTTTGGGGAAGGCTGAGCAGCTTCAAGGGTTTGCTCACCGTTGAACGAAAGATTCAAAGATGGTTTGAACAACAATAAACATTAAATTAAAAGATTTGTTCCCCAAGTTTACATGTAAACAGATCAGTGTTTTGCAGTAGCCTTTTTTGAGTAGTTTGTGCTTGCAGAGAATAGGTGTGGAGGAAAAGACACGGTGCGAATCTTGAATGGAAATTTCTGAAGCTGAGCTACCTTCTCAACACAGTTCTCATTGCACAGCAGTCTTGAAAATGATTCTCTAACCTCACAGAATCACAGAAGGTGCGAGATCTTCTCTGGAGATCTTCTCATCCAACCCACTTGCTAAAAGCAGGGGCAACTGGAGCAGGTTGCTCAGGGCATGGCCCAGTTGGGCTTTCAGTATCTCCAAGGGTGGAGATACCTCCACAGCCTCCCCGGACAAATATTTATACACATTGACAGGATCCCCCCAAAAGCCTTCTGAACAGTTTCAGCTCTTTCAGCTTTTTCTCCTATGTCGTGTGTTCTGGTAATTTAATCAGCACCAAACTTCACATGCCTGATAGTTCTTCCCTGTTTGTAAGACTGAGGCCCAGCAAAGTGCCTCACCTTGATCACACACTCAAAAGATTGTCACCAACACACTTCAGAACCCTTCTGGATTGCTCGTGCCCTGCAAGTTGTCCCTTCAACAACCCTTAGGGTGGTTGAAGTCCCCCATGAGGATAAGGACCCACAAATGTGAGGCCTCTGCCCTCTAATACCCCTGACCCACAAGAGATGGAAAAAAGGATGTTCGAAGAAATGCTTGGTAGTAGCAAAAGTAGAGAAATGTTTGTGGGCTGTTGAAATGCTCCCGGAATGACAAGGGAGGCTGTGAAGAACAAAGAGTGGTTCACTAGGAGTTCTTCACAGGAAAGATTTATTAATTCAAAATGCAAAGTATTTCAGTAGGACGTCTTGGATGACGCTTTTTGACAGAATCGATCTTGTCATGACCCTCTATAGTGCTAGAATTGCAGTGAATGTGGTGTGAGTATATTTCAGTAGGACGTCATGGCGCTTTTTGATAGAATCGATCTTGTCACGGCCTTCTATAGTACTAGAATTGCAGTGAATGTGGTGTGAGTTTGTAAATTGTTAGTAGGATAGGGAAAAGTGTCCGATTTTTGTTTTTTCTGTGTGCCATTCTCTAAAATCCAAAAATACAGTTAGAGTTAATTAAACCACGAGGCTGAAAGACATGTAGACAAATGAAGAACTGCCCTGTCTTGTCTGCCACTGTGGATAACAGTGTGAAGCTTTGTCACACGTCACATGCTTTGGCTTGAAAGCTGAGAGCTTGGGAAGAGGCCACGAGCCACAACCGAACCCGTCTCAACTTACTGCTGCCTTCAAATAGGCATTTGGGCACTCGGAGCCCATGAGCTAGGTGAGATCTTCAATGCTGTGAAAAAGGTTTCACTCCCAGATGAACATTTCTGAGGAGCCAGAATGTGCCTGGATCCGCTTCTCGGTTCTCTTGCTACGAGATCAATATGAAGCAAGACAAGATGGGATTTGATGCAGATCAGCAGGAGACAAAACTATGGTTCAGGCAGTAGATTTTGCCCACTCACAAGCTGTCAAAATAATAGATCTTAGTTTCTCTGCATCTCCCCATCTTTGGGAACTACGGATAAAGTTTGGGAATTGCTGCTGTGTCTTCAGGGACTCTATACTGCAGAACTGGTTCCTCTGGTGATAAAAGATAACTGCAGATAGTGTGTGTGCTTGAGCCTGCTCATGCCTGTGAAGTATATAACCATTTGCTCACGATTCTGCTAATTCCTTGACCAGTCTGGTGGCAGTTCAGGTGCCGATTTTTCTCATTCCCCAACTGAACATTAACGTAATGGTTTGAAGTTCTGGCAAAAAGTCACATACAGTTCCCCGTTCAGAGCCTAGATTTCCACATACAAATACAGGTAAGGTCATTTGGAGCTGCCTTGTCATCTCCTGGATACCATCTGCTGCTAAGCAGCTATTAGGAGAGAAAGTCAGGGGCACAATTACCCTTTTCCTTTTTCTTCTCCTTTCCTTCTTCTATTTCTTCTCCCCTTTTTCCTTCTTCAACTTCTTCCCTCCCTTCCCCTCCACTCCTCTTTTCTGCTTTCTCATATTCTCTTTTTTTCTGTTCTTTTCTCTCTTCTTTTTTCTTCTTTTTTTCTCTTTTTTCTCCCTTTTCTCTTTTTTCTTTTTTCTTCTTTTTTCTCTTTTTTCTCTTTTCGTCTTTTTTCTCTTTTTTTCTTTTTTCTCTTTTTTCTCCTTTTTCTTTTTTCCTTTTTCACTTTTTTCTTTTTCTCTTTTCTTACTCTTTTCTCACTCTTTTCCTCTTTTTTCCCCCTTTTCTTCATGGATCAGAGATCTGTAGAAGAAGAAGAATGCATTGCTCAGCCCCTTCAGCTCTGAGCAATTTCATCCCATTGCACCATGAACTCTCCCTACCCTTTCTGGTATGCAGAGCCCGGCGCTTAAGGTGGTACCAACTGCCCCGTGAGGGTTTGCAGGGCTGTTCTGGTGTTTATTTGCATTTGGTTTTGAAGTCCCCAGGCACTGGGCATTTCCCTGATGTGGCAGAGAGCGCACTGCAAGAACAGGAAGGTGCTGTCATTCTCCTGGAAGCTTTTCCTATCTGTTCCTGTGCACAGATAACATAGGAAGCGTCCTGGTGTCCATCAGGCTGGGGCAGTCTGCAGCCGCTCTCAACTACAGCCCCTGCAACTGCTAGTGACAATTCCAGGCTGTTCCAAGCAGATGGGGACACCTTCCCTACTTGTGTATGTGCGAGGACTGCTCTTATCAATAAATACAAATGTGAAAGCTCTGTTGCAACAGGGATGCTGGCGTTGCCCTCAGGAACATGAAACCTCTTTTCGTTAAGGACTCTAGTCCCATTCTCAGCAATAGTTGCAGCTGAGATGGTGTATGGAAATGCCTGTTATGCACTGGACTCTACTGGGTATAAATTAATGCAAAAAAGCAGGAACTGCTTTTCATACATTCACAGAATTGTGGAGGGTCACTAGGACCTCCTGAGGTTTCTAGTCCAATCCCCCTGCTCAAATTAGGGTCAACTAAGGCAGGTTGTTCAGGGCCGTGTCTGTTGGGGTTTCGAGTATCTCCCTGCCTTGAAAACCTCCAGTTTAAGCCTGTAGCAAGGTTAAGTTACAGAAAAGATTGTTTAAGGAGCAGGGAACGTTTTGGAATCATAAAATGCTTGGAATAATAAAATACTATAAATGAAGCGGATTGGGTGAACATGTGCAGTTCTCTAGGTGTCTCTCTTAGAACGATTCAAGTCTGTGTGTAACTGATGGCATTAAGGCTGGGCTTTGCTTCTGTGAAGATTATGAAGCTTCTCTTACTTCATAAGAGCTACTTCATCCACCACTTTTGAACTTTTCCATGGATACAAATGGCCTAACTTGTCGGGGATTCTGGCACTAGTATCATGTCAAAAATATATTCCCTCTTAACAGCTGTTGTGATAAATGGTGTCTCAATAAATTGGATATATCAAAGAGACAATGTTTAATGTCATGTGCAGTGTTTCCTAGCACGGTCACCAGCAGTTTCCTTACAGTTTTGACCAGTGAAATGCAGAAATTGGGCAGGAAACTTTTTGTGCAAATTCAACTGATCTGTCTTAACTGCAGAGCTGATTTTGGACCCGCATTTTACCTGGATCCCCAGAACTGATCTAACTGATGGATCCTCTCTCTGTGTCACCTGAGCAGCAAGTGGGAATGTTGAAATTTGGATTATACAGCATATCAAAGCAAGGAGGAATTGGCTGAGGGCTTGTAAAAG